GACGTGCGGGCTGTCAATGGAGCACCTGCAGTTTCTCGAAGGGGCTCGTTCACCTTCGCGACGATAGGAACAGTCTGGTGAACAGTCGTGGGCAGTACAGAGGGTGCAGTCGACTGAAGCTGTGGCGGTGGTGGCGGCAGCGGTGGTGGTGGTGGTGGCGGATGAATGAGGGCAGTACTGAGCTCAAAGTCTGCACCGTCGTCGATATCAGCAGTACCTGCGAGTCCAGCAGGCTCCACGCGCTGCTGGACAGGATTCAACTTCCGCTAAAGCAAGGAGACCGTGTTCACTGTGATTTCCTCCTACTCCTCATTCGCCCACCGAAATAGGCTAATCCCAGTCACTTTATCACCATAAATCACAGCCAAACGCCATCTGCGGATATGACCCACCAAATTTACTGCTCCACATTTAAAAGGGACTGACAACCATGACCACGTGACTACAATGTGCCCACTCCCCAAAAAGTCATGACGCACTTGAAGTATCCGTGGCGAATGAACTATTCTTCACAGTTAAATTAATCACCCTGGCCTTCTATACATGCCCAAAGGAGCGTAGAAACCCACCCACTCTCCCGCGAACACACAAACCCACGACCATTTGAAGACAAGGACAAAAACGCTTCACCTACAACCCTTAACCAAATTATCCAATTAGCCTATTTGACTATGAAAGGGTTAACACCTTTATTCGCAGCAAGTGCATGAAAATCAAGTGTTCTAACTTGAATAGCTCGTCATGTTAATAAAAAGGGGAAATCAAGCACAACTAAGCTCCCTCTATACAAGGTAACATAGATGCTATAATACAACATCTGAAGCTACGCAAACACAAGACCCGACTATTGACGGCTAGGTAGACGCTTAGGTCACCGTGGCAGGAAATGTGGCGACCTTTACTGTGCTGCAACCGGAGTTCTGCAAGTAGCTAAATAAATAAACTTGGAAAAGACAAACCCAACATGAATAAAAACAAATCAACACTGCTGACACTCAGGAAAGAGGCAGAACTGAAAAAGCAAATTGATAATCAACTTGACACTCTGGGGTCAACAGACAAACAAACAAAGTAAACAAGGACCGATCCACCGACCTTTGTAGAAGGCTGCGCAGTATCCGGTGACACCTTCGACCATCGCTACCACCTGCCCAAGGCCTCGGTGTGGGGTCGGGTACCAGTGGCATCTAATGGCAGTGCGCACACACCGTCAGCTAACCGCTACTCAACCACCTGTTAGTAGGCACTGTTTTACTACCCACCTACACATACGCACGCACGCAAGCACGCACACACATACACAGCACTTACCTGACTCTTCTGCACAGACTGTGACGAAGACAAAGAAGGCGACGGTGCATCCACTGCGGGTGGAGGTGGGGACAGAGACACTGGCACTGACGACAACTGATGCTGCTCATCGTGGTGCCGTTTCAGACGCAGCAGTTGACTGGCACACATTAAGTTCGCCGGGTTCTTGCGACCCTCCTCTTCGCTTGGAGGCAGCGGCTGTAGCGTTGCACCTGCAGCACTAACAGTCGTCGTAGCAACGGCGACAGTCGTAGCGACCACTTCCGAGACAGATCCTCCAGACACGCCGACAGCAGCACCGGCGGCAGTGCCGACAGTGGAACTGCCCATGTGGACCACTTCTTCGCCCAACCCTCTGCTCACCCGCTGACTCTAATAGGTGAGCCACACAAAGCAATCAAGTCACGGTCATATCGTCTCAAATAAGGCAAATTCCAACACACGTACCTTCTCGGAGGACTCCACCAGGGCTTCTGCCGTTGCGGCCTCGATTGCAACGGAGCTATATACCCGAGAAAACGCCTGCGACGACTGATTTTCCCTCGCCATCACCACCTCCCCGGCACCGCTTCCTCCGGTCGACATCGACGACATCGTCACTCCCACTGGCGCCACCGTCGTAGTCGTTTGGGAGAGCGCAAACGGTGGCACCGATGGCTGTGACGCTTGTTGAGATGACAAGTGAGTGCCACCAGCAATCAACAGACGCCTTCTGTTCAGAATTTTCGGCACTGTCGAGGTGCCCGTGTATACCTTGCGAATAACCTTTCTAGGGCTGTGTCGACGAAAACTCAGTCCCCCCGCGAGGGGCAACACAAACGGAGAAGCAGGATGGTGAGACTGGTGACCAAGACTGTGAGCATGGGCATGAGGCACTCCCTCTCCATCGTCACCACCTTCCTCCGCTGCATCGCTGTCTCGTGAGCGCGGACGTCGCGTCACACTTCCCGACGACCTTGCAACAGCAGCGGCCGCAGCTGCAGCGGCCGCAGCGCTCAGATGCCGCATCCCCATACGATGCAGAGGATGCAGCATGCGTCCCCCACCTAACTGCACACCTCTGCGACGAGCCGCCACACTCAATACGCGGCTCCTGTTGTAACCCATGGCGGAACTGGGTCGCAGAGACGGCGGCGAGTCGCAGACTACCAGCTCACGTCCTTTCAGTCCGCTCTCACCATCGGAGCGCGTATCCAAGCACACAGTATCGCCAGTGGCACCAGCACTGCCACCAACAGTAGCAGCAGCAACAGAAGTCGGTGAGAGGACCTGCGCGCCGCGAAAAGCGTTCGATGCTAACATCGTCGTCGTCGTCGTCGTCGTCGTCGTCGTCGTCGATGGCGATGATTGTGCACCCGAGGTATTGCGCTTCCGCACTTGCCGAACCAACGCCTCACCTCTGGGGTGATAGGCGAGAGTGATATTGAACTCCTGTTCACTATTGGCATTGGTTTTGGTAGAAAGTCCATTGATGTTGAAGCCAGTCTCGGTGACCCGCTGCAGGAGGATACTGAGGTCGTCGCTGTGAAGCTGCTTGATGTGAATCTCGTCGCCATCCTGCACCACACTACAGGTCAGACCCAACACCACACGGTCCAACAGAGTGAGTCTTCGATGCAAGTCACGCCGATGATGTAGAGCACGCGCCCTCTCCATGTGCACCTCAGCATCACCTACTGTAGTAGAGGCAACAGCATTTCTTGCCGCTGCAAACGCCCTCGAGGGCCTGGCATAGAAACAGCCCCTTCTCTTGCGTTGACCCGCAAGGAAACCCACTTCATGCGACTGCCTGACAACGGCAACCTTACGTGGGTAGCATCTCGCACCTCCATCGAAGTCGTTTGATGACTCCGACAAGCTCCTAGACCGTGATCTCGACTGTGCACATGCTAATCGAAGTACATTTCTTCGGCGTTTTCTCTCAAACAGCATCGACCTTGCACACCTCCTCAAATCACTGCCACGCAGCACACTCGCCTCCTGCGTTGCCACATCCGCACCACTCTTCACAAGTGAAATGTCCGCCTCAGCACCCATTCCCTTGCATTGAACGATTCCAGTCTCATGCTTTGCTTCACCTCCTGCACCTCTTGTTTGCTCCAACCCTCTCCTCTGCTCCTTTGCTTCTGCTTCCTCCTCCCCCTCCTCCTCATTCTCATCTGCAGACGTATGACTAGAGGTTGGTGCACAACGTTTGCGGATGATTGCAACCTCACCGCCTTTCTGCAACCTCGTCCTCTCACTTGCATCACCATAGCAGAACTTCCAGTCAATGTGGTGGCGAATGTTCATCGAGCGTCGAGGTCTCGTCTGCATGGCACTTCTGGAGACACTTCGCTTGTTCGACTCCAAGAGTGGCTGTGAAGACTTACGCGGACGACCGCGCCTCACCTCTGTAGTCGGTCGCAGCATGTGGGAGGCCTGCGATTTGGCCTGAGCCAACTTCTTTGCGGCTGCCCTGGCATTTCGATCACGGACGCGTTTCGCATTCCGCGATAGCCCTGTCAAACGCTCTGCAGCCTCAACACTAGGATTCACCATGTCCG